AAGTATGTTTACATATGGATATTGTTGTCTTAGCACCAAACAATGACTATTCCATCCTTTCTCCCAATTATGAGCAAAGTTAATTTTGTCTAAAACTCTTGTGGTTGAAGGGATGAGAGAAATTTTGAATCACCATAGATGTTGTAAGAAATTGTGAAACCAAGTAAATTTGAGTAAGGGGTAATTAAGTAAGGTTAAAAATAAAATACTAACAACAAACTAGCAGAAAGAGAAATTAAGAAAACCGTTTCATTTTCAATTGCATCAAAAAGGATAAAATACCTAGGAATAAATTTAACTGATGAGGTGAAAGAATGTAAATATACAAAGAACAAAAAGAAAATGAGTGATAAACAGAAAATAAAATGTGGTGATAGACATAGATCCAAATATATAAAAAATTATAATAAATAAAGTATGTTAAATTCACCTGTCACAACACAGAGATTGTAAGATTTTATTTTAAAAAAATCAGAAAGATAAAATGGCAGAGTAGGAGGATTCTGAGATCACATCCTCCTATGGTCACACCAAGGCTGCAACTACGTATAGAGCAACTCATTCTGAGACTGACCAGAAGGCTAGCAGAACAGCTCTCCACAACCAAGAAAAAGGCACACTGAGAAGGGCAGAAGGGGCAGAGACATAGCCAGGAAATGAATACTTGGTGTATTCCCACAAAGTGGGGTGGATACTACAGGTGCAGAGGTATTCCCTGAGGAGTGAGGGGTTCAAGCCTCACTTCAGGCATCCCTTACCCTAGGGATCTGTACTGGGAAGATGAGACCCATAACATTTGGCTTTGAAAATCAGAAGGACTTAACTCCAAGAGAGCCAGAAGGCTATAGAAAACAAAGACTCAACTCTCTATATGGAAAAACCCTAAAGACTCCACCAGAAAATTAAGGAATAATAAGTAAAGGAATAAGTAAATAAATAAAGGAATTCAGTAAAGTTGTAAGATACAAAATTAATATACAGAAACCTGTTGTGTTCCTAAATACTAACAACAAACTAACAGAAAGAGAAATTAAGAAAACCGTCTCATTTATAATTGCATCAAAAAGGATAAAATACCTAGGAATAAATTTAACTGATGAGGTGAAAGACCTGTAGAATGTAACCCCATATATGGTAGGAATCTTTGTTTTGTTCATTGATACAGACCAATCATGTAACATCTAGTAGGTGCTTAATAAATATGGAATTTGAAAGATACACAATTTGTTGAATAAGGAAATGGAAAGATACACAACAAACTGGTAACAATTGTTACACCTAGGGATGGGAACTGAGGTATTGGAGGTAGGGATGGGAAGGAGACTTACTTTTCAGGACATACCCTTGTGCTCTTCATACCATGTATTAACTGGCAAAAATTTAATAAGAAATTTTACTCTTAACAAAAATAACTGCTTTGAAAAGATAACCATAAGAGGAAAAGGGAGAAAGATACTCCCTATCAATTGTAAAGACAATATTAAAATTAAAATTTATTGTAAAATAAGATAGTATGGAATTAGTGCAGTAAGTGTGGTCAACCAGTAGAGGTAAAAAACAGGTTTGGTTTATAGAAAAACTGATCTATGACAGACATGTAATTGCTAATAAGTGGGAGAAAATATGGGCTAGTTGTTGTATGGTACTGAGACAAGGGGTTGTCCACATGTAAACAAAAAATAATTATTAACCCCCTAGTCATATTAGACACAAAGATCAGTCCAGGAGATAAAGACCCAAGTGTGACACAAAACTTGGCATTCTTAGAAGTAAGCACAGGAGAATATGATATCCAGGTAGAATTTCTTAAGTCTCAAAGCAAAGCTCATTAAGTAAGAGATTGATAAATTTAACTACATTCAAATTTTAGAAGTCTCATATGTGTTTGAAAATACATCATTAAACACACACACACACACACACACACACAAACCATGATCTAGGAGAAGATATTTGCAATACACAAGTGACAAAAGTATTCATATTCAGAATAATAGAGAACTACAAATCAATAAAAAGAAATAACCCAATAGAAAATGGAAAAGGGATATGAAAAGTCAAATCACAGAAAAAACCAAAGTGGACAAAAAACATACAAAAGAGACTCAATCCTACTAGTAACCAGGGAAACACACATTATAAAAACAATGGGATATAATTTCATGTCTATCATGAAGACTGGTAAAAATTTATGTCTGACAATTCCAAGTGTTGCTGATTCAGGGAAATGGAAACTCTTATGCTATGCTGTTGGAGTTATACATTTGTTATCTACTTTGGAAAACAATTGGCCATTATGTAGTGAAGATGCAGATAATCAGTAATTCTTCTCCCAGTTACATGCCCTAGAGAAATCCTCATCCTTATGCACAGGAGACATGCACAAAAATATTCTTAGGAACACTGTCTGCAATTGCAAAAAAAAAACAAACTGGAAACAGCCTAAATTATGATCAATAAAATGCATAAATTGTGATATGATCATATGTGGAATACTATACAGCAGTTAATATAAATGAACCAGAGCTATGTGTAGATACATGAATGAATCTCTACAATATAATAGTGACTAGGGGGAAAGTCACAAAATAATTTTATAGCATGACATCATTTATAGGAATTTATAAAATAATATTAATTATACCAGTTATGCCAGTTATATTTTTGAATACATAGATATGGAAAACCATTGAATTTATTCCAGTGGTTACCTAAAGGATGAAGGGAGAGATGTGTGATCAGGTAGTAGTACAGAGAATTCTGAACTAGATCCATAAATTTTTTTAAATAGAGCACCCTGTGGCATGGATGGCACACTGTTGATGTAATGAAGCCAAAGTATTTGGTTGGGGGGAAATAAATGGCTGCTCATTGTATTTCTTTTATTTTCTGTATATTTGAAATTATTTATATTAAACAAAATAAGAGTTTAAAGACAGCAACACAGATTGTTAAGGCCTCCAAATATCCAACCAGCATTTCCGAAAGCTCTTAGCCAAGGAGGAATGGCACCATCAAACTGCAGTTCTGTGTTGAGTAGAGGCTGGTGAGGAGTACAGGCACTCCAGTACCTCCCACTGGCAGCCCCAGAGGGGCAGTGAGCCCACTGCTAGCTGCTGCAGCTGCTGATAAGGCACGGAATAGGGATGGATGGCTTTGAAAGGGAAAGAGCGTTACTAACAACAGAGAAAAGTACTTTTGACATGGAATAGAGATATCCAAATAACAGATGATCTAATGGTACTTTCTAACCATCCCAAGTCAAGGTACACATGGATAATATTTGTCTGGCACACTGGAGTAGAGACTACCACCCTGGGGGCTCCACCTACCCCTGTGCCCCTGAGAACTGAATGGATCGGTATCTCACAAGTGTATATCTCACAGGATCACTCAAGTATAGCCTACTCGTAGGACACCAGTGTGCCACAACATACCATTTGAAAGCTTTCCAAAAGTACACCGGTAGTTACAACTATTCTGCTTGAATTGGTACACTAGCAATTAGGAACATAAAGAGCTAGGACAAAAGAACTGCATTTAACAGGGTCTGAAAGATTCCTTATAAAGCAACTGCAGACAGATCAAGAACCCTTATTCCAACGCACACTTCAGCATCATAACAGGGTGTGGCCAGATGAGACTGGGATGTGCAAGCAGGAAATTCAGGTCAGCACATATGGAATAGAACAGGACACAGTTACCAGGAAAACAATCCAATGAGACAGGATAAAGATAATCCCTTACCAACACCTTAGTGAGGAGGGGTTGTTAGTAATACTCCAGTTATGTTAACCTGTGACATGGAATCTCTGTATATGTTAATCATATATATGTTTATGATTATATGATTACATGATCCCATCTATGGAAGAGATTATACATTTTTCAAACTATTTCATCTTTATACTTTTAAAGCTCCAAGTTCAAAGAGCTCTCTCAGGTGTAAGGTCACCAGAATTGATTGGGTCCTGCATGCATTTGCAGTCACTGTCTTCTATCTCAGTTTCAGAGACCAGATCACTCATCTTTGTGCTATGAGGATGCCTCCAGAGGGCAGTTTCTCAGTCTTTTTGTAAATGAGCCAACTGGCCCTCAAATACAACACATCAATCATGGTGGAAGGCAGGGACAGCGTGGGACAGCCATCTTGGTTGCCAAAATATTGAAATACTTCCACATTTGTTGTTAATTAGCCACTCCTAGAGCCCCCAAATCTCCCCCAAGATCCCATATACCCAGAATCCAGTAACCAAAGTGTTAATGCCTAGCACAGCAGGGGTCACCAGAGCTGTAACATGTTTTGAATGGATGAGGATGAACCACCATGTCCACTCTTGAATGCTTGAATGCTCACTAACACTGCTGGTACCATCAGCCCTTTGGATCTCTTTTGTTAGCCAGTTTTGCCTCCAGTTCCCAAACCAAAATAAAATACCTCTTTGGCAAAACTAAATTACTCAACCTCTCTCAAGGCTAGATGCCAGGTCTAGTGGAAAGAAAGAATCCTTTAATTCCATGGCCACAGCTTTTTCAGGGGGACTTGACTTTCCCTTAAGGATGAGAGAGCCATCCTGACCTTCAAAGGTGGCTTCTTGACCAGACCAGTCCTTTCTCATGAGCCATCCTCTTTTTATTTGATGCCACCCACCAGCAGCTTCCTCATTCCTCATGATTTTAAAACTTATTTCTCAGGAGGGCCAGGATGATTCCTTGGCACTGCAGCATACAGAGTGATTTGGGGAGACATTGGCCCTAGGGTCATGCAGCAACCTCAGAGTATCAACCCTGCCATCTTCAGAATCAATCAACAGATATGGGAGGGAGGAAAGAAACTGCCTGTAGGGTTGAGGATGGGGAAGCGTTGTTCACGGTACAGGAGCTTTGCTGCTCATCCAGGGCATCATAGGAAGAGGGCAGGAATTGTATCTGGACAGGCAACCAGGCATTGCTCTAGGAAGTGAGGGAAAGGCCAAAGCACAACAGCCACGTTTACTCACCAGGGCTGGTTATTGTCAGGAGATCAAGCTGCCGCTGTTGCTGTGAAAGAAAACACATTGTGAGAGCACTGATTTCAGCCAGAGCCAGAGTAGGGCTCAGCAGGTCAGGGTGGATATGCAAATGGGATGTTCAGACACACAGAGCATGGTGCATTGCGGAGAACATGATGCTTATAATTCTGCAGAGAGGCCTTGCAACCTAGACACAAAGGGAGTGGACTTTTTGTTTGTCTTCGGATGGTCAGAGATGAGAGGGTCTTAGAGGGCTTCCAGTGAAACCTGTATTATATATACTAAAGGAGAAGCTATGGGCTCATTCCTCTGGACCAGAAGGCCCTTGATTTCTCTTTGTTCAAAATCTGCACTGGTTAAGTATCTGATATCTTGGCAATTCTCTTTGTCTTGGGTTCTTAAGTCATTGTCACATTCCTGATACTCCTAATAAAGATACTTCTGGGATGCTTTATTTCTTGAATTTGCTCAGCAATGCTATGACAATTTCAATTACTGATAATAAAACCATTCCTTCTGTAACTGAATCCTCATCTCTGTACCACACAACATTTCATAGAAAGTCATATCTGTGGGACTTATGCGCCCACGTAGATGAGGCTGCCGGGGTTTGGAGGTAACTGGCCTTGGCTCCCCCAAGGGCTGAGGTGATTAATCTCTCCATAGGCTTACCCCCTATCACAGAATACTTTTGGGGTCCTGGATTGGATGTCATTGAGGCCTGAGGGTGGAGAAGTTGAATTTGAAGGTGGGGGATGGGACAGTGATAAGCAACTATCTTAAAGACTTAAGTCAGAATTCCTTAAGCCCCACTCAACCTCATTCTTTTTCTTACACTTGATTTTCCATAAACAGTACTAGAAATCTATATTTATTTTTTCTTTAAGGGGGTTCAAACAAACTCTACTTTGACAGTCACTGCTCCACGATACACATTGTGGAAACTTCAGATTACCTGGTATTTCATAGTGGTTCCTTTGCTATATTTCATCGTACCTGCATTTCCCTCTTTATCTCGTCTTTTTCGAAGAATGGCCTCCTGAAATTCTGCGTAAGCAGAAAGAGGAAGGCAGCAACTCAGGCCAGGCATAGTACTAGGCACTCTGATGGGTCATTTCTTTTCCTACTCTTGGCAATCCTTCAGGGTTGGTATTGTACAGAGGAGGGACATGAGGTTCAGAGAGGAGTAATCATCTGCCGAAGACCACATTTTCATTAAATGGCAGGCCCAGGATTAGAATTCAGTCAGTTCTAATCCAGGCTTGAAAACCCAAAATTTGACAATGTGCATAAATCATGATGAGACCTATACTTAATAGGAGCTCAATAAATTGACATTTAGTATTGCTATTGTTATTTTAGACCATGTGAGTTTTGGTTTATATAAGCTACCTCTTCCCTTTTTATAGAGTTATAGATATTTAGAGCTCAAAGGTTATTGAGTCTGACCTGCCACCAGGACAGGAATTCTGTGTGCAATGTCCCTACCAGTTGTATGAACTGCTTCTGTTTCATCCCTGTTCTTGAAGGAAAATAATTACTTCTTATCAGTTGGATAGCTCTACCCTGAGGAGGGTTAAAAGCTGCTTCCTAATGACATCATCACTGTTTCTAGCTGCTTAATCCCATGACAACAGTTTAGACATCTGAAGAAGATCTGTGTCTTTCCTCTAGGCTAGATATTCCCAGTTGATTTGTCCTTTCCTCTTAAGATCTGCTTTGAAATCTCCTCACCCTGGTGGTCACCCTCTCCTCTATTTAACTTTGATCTATGTCAGTTAAAACCTCTTTAAGATCTCTCTACCCCTCTCTTCAATAATTGCATGAGCCTAAAAGCAGATCTGTATCCTTTGAAGGACTTCTCAATCACATAACCCTGTTTTCCTGCCAGCTCATAACTCATTCCAGTTGACATGTGCAAGCAAACAATGCAACTCCAAGATGTCACTGACCTACATTGTGAACACACATCCTTGGGCTGAAATGAAACACACCCCCTTATACATGGGCTACAAGGAACGTTGGAGCCAGACTGGCTTCCTTCCCAAACACAGAACCAGGCCAGTAGTACGCCTGGCTCAAGCTGCCTATGCCAAGGCCAACCTGTATGGCTTGGCACTTTCCTCACGCATCAGGGAGGAATACAAAGTGCCCTTCTATTTTTCCATCAAGTTGACTTTGTGATGATTGCTTTTGGTGAGAGAATTCTTTTCATCCTTGGCAAGTGTCTATTTCCTAATTAAGAGCTATCTCTAAATAGTGACTGTGTCCAGCGTCCAGTGGGAAAAAAAAGGGAAGAAAACCTGACAGGAGGTAGACAGACCTGGCTTGTGTTCTGGCTCCTCTGTGCATCTTGGATAACTTACTATGGGTCTGGCCTCAAACTTCAAACCTCTAAAATGAGTTAGCGAGACCGAAATGCCTTCAGTGACTCTGAGGCAAATAAAACCTGCTACTGTGCTTGTGGGCTCCCTCTTCTGGTGTAGAGAGTTCCCTGAGAATCCCTGTAGCCAGGATGCTGGGGGCTCAAAGGGCAGAGTTAGAATTTAGAGTAACTACATTTTAAGCTGTCCTCTCACACTGCAATTTTCAGTGCAGGTATATCTTCCTCACTAGCGGAGGGGCATCTTAAGGGTCTGGAAGATCTATTATTCAGTCCATGGCATACAGTATAGCCCTGGGTAAGCATTTGCTAAATTCAGCTGAATCCTTCCTGGAATCCACATTGTCCTTTCAAACTCCCATGCCACTGCTCATGTTGTCTTCTCTGCTTCATCCCTCGTGACCTCCATGGAGTCCCTCCTCACTTCTCAAGACTTCTGTGAGGTCTCCTCTGCACGCCAACTCCTAAACCTAGCCCCTCCCCTTCTCTACATTCCTCAGGATATTTCACACCTTGCTCTTTCAATGTGTTTTGTAAAACCTACCTTTTTTTTTTTTAATCATGCTCCATCTTAATTGTCTGTTTTCTTCTCTGCTTCTCTCATGAGGTCCTTACTTGAGGATAAGATTATGTCATTTCATCTCCATATCTCTAGTGCCCAGCACAAAGGCCTGGAAGGAATGTTTGATGTCATCTGGTTGAAATGATTCAACTATTCCATTATTCCCTCTGCAGCAACCCTGCTAGGTAGGACTTAATCAGCCTGGAAAATGAGGGTGCCCCTTCCTCTGCAGGACTCTCCTTTTGTGACAGCTTTAGGGTTTCTTGTCTTTCTGATTTTGCTCCCACCATCTGCAGCCAGCAATACTGATGGTCCACCCCTTTTGGGAGATCTTCCTTCTTTTACTCCTACCCACAGGTTCACTGTTTCTCCTGGACTCCTACAGCTCCCACTGTCTGTAGCTCTCCCGTGGTGATGGATTAAACATAACCGGTCACAAGCCCATGTTTAACCTTCTGTTCACTGACATATGTGTGCACCACCTAGTGGCCCAAGCAGATAAGTGTAGGCTATTGTTTTAACCTGTACCTCCTAAGATTACATTGCAAAATCTGCATGATCTATATGTAAATAGAAATAAAAGTGTATGTTCAAGAATCACTGTGCAAAGGTTCTACCTAAGAAACTGCAATATCCAAATAATTCCCTCAAAGTCCTTCAAAATAAAAGGAATGAGATGCAAGAGAAAATGTTCATTACTAGATAGTCTACCTAGAATAGTCATTTGGGATTACCAGTGGAAACTGTATGGCATTTGCAAAAACAGGACATGTGATTTGTAGAAATTGACTAATAATGTACAATTAGTTATATGGGTGGGGCATACTGAACACACAGAATTACCAAATTATTATAATTAGTTACCAACTGAGAAATAAGGGCCTTTTAAATTATATTATCTAATGACCTGGATGGTAGAATACATAACTTTAATTGGAGGAAATGAAGTCAGCTAGCTGGGTAGCAGGTTTGGTGGACTGATGGGGCCTGGTGACTGAAAGCTGAGATGTTGAGACACCAGCCAACCGCAAGATACAGTTATTACATTTACACAACAAATGAGGTACATTTAAATTTTGTGCAACATTTCATTATTTTTTGTCCCAGGCTGAGTCCTTTTTGAAGTATAAAAGTTTAAGTCACCTATATTTACTGTCATAACTGATATGTTTGCTCTTACTACTGTGATTTTGTTTCTATCTCCTTTTTCAGGGAAGGTGGCTTTAACCAGCAGAACATCAGAGGTAGTTTGAGAAGCCCAGCTATTACAGCCTAGGGATGTAGACAGAGTCCTTTGAATATGGGGAGGACTGTTTCAGGCAATATCCAACCTGGAAGATACTCTTTTCCTTCATTCCTGAACCTCCTCTCACTAAAGTTACAGAATTTTGTAGAAAGAGCTCCAGACTCAAAATCAGACAAAGGTATGAATCCTTATTCTGTCATCTCTGAGCTGTGTTATCCTAGGCATGTTACTTATGCTAGCTGGCAATTAGGTACTCCATCCATAAAAAGAGAGTAGACTACCTTCCAGGAGCCAAAGAGGAAGGAGAAGATGAGGGAAAGGGGAAGAACCATTCCCAGCAGGGCAGGGGCAACAAGCAGAGTAGGGAGCGCACTGCTCGAGCACTAGGATTTCTAGTGCTGGCTCCAGCCCTGCCCTACCTCAGAGGCTTTGGGCTTCTCACTACCTGGCACCCAGCCTTTTACAAGAGCATCTTAACTGGTCTCCCAGCTTTGAGGCTTGCCTCTTCCATTCACCCATATTGTAACGGCAGCTGCAGTGAACTTTCTAGAATGCACATCTTAAAACTCAACGGGGTTCCTATGACCAAGCTCCTGCCTCCTATCTCCTGTTGTCTTAGACTCTGAGCTCCAGCCATGATAAACCACTTCCAGTTCCTCAGACTTGCTGTGTGCTCACCTCTAGGCCTTTGCACATGTTCCCTCTTGGAACAACAGTCCTGCACCCAATCTGCTTTACGTGGCTAATTCCTACCTGTTACTTAACTCTTGACTCACATGCCTTTTATTTTGTGGTCTTTTTAGACTGGCGAAGGCTGAACTGGATCTTGTCCTTCTC